AGAAGGGAAATAATAAAACAATAAAAATTTAACATAATAAAATTATTATCACGACGCTTCGGAGGCAACACAAGTCTCCGTCATCAGGTATCACTTGATACGGTAAATTTAGCTGTGACGGTCCCACCTGATGACGGAGACTTGTGTTGCCTCCGACCGAAACGTCGTGATGTATTATTTTATTTCTATTATTATTTCTATTATTTTTATTATTTATTTTCTACCTACGTGACTTTACCGAAAAAACCTAAGAGTATTATAAGGAACATTAATTATCACCAGCCTTGTATGCGTACGAATTGTCACGATTCTGAGTCACAATTTCATCCTACAATGTTTATTCTGCGGTTTTGTTCAGTAATGTTCCATCGCGTAAGGGTAACTGTAGCTGTCATCCTAAAGAGCGAATGACCGATGATCTAAATTTCGATTTAAAGCTTTCGTGACTGCAGGGATTCGTCTTCTTGGTTCTTTCATTCAAAACTCGTCGACCATCAAACATTGTTGGTTTTCCAAGAGCAAACGACAGCGAGCGCGGACAAGTTGCGTCACGTGTGCGCCGCGTGCGTTGTGTTACTCTCTCGCAGTCTCACTCGCTGCTCACGCCACCTCCACCAAGAGCGGAGAATCAAAGACGACCCACAGTTCTAGATCTGAAGCTTTCGTGACTGCAATGATTCATATTCTTAGGTTTTTTCGGTAAAGTCACCACGTACGTAAAAACATTAAAAAGTAAAATAAAATAAAAATCACGACGTTTCGGAGGCAACACAAGCTTCAGCTGTCGTGGCTGTGACGGTACCACCTGAAGACGGAAGCTTGTGTTGCCTCCGAAACGTCGTGATTTTTTATTTTATTTTACTTTTTAATGTTTTTACCTACGTCACTTTACCGAAAAAAACTAAGAATACGATCCACAGTGCCACTGCGGCCACCCGCAGCCTGGGCCCACGCCCCACAAGCGCTGTCGCGCGCCCACGCGGTTGACAAAGGAACCCCACAGAGCGCTGGGGGAGAATTTTTATCACCTCATATTCTTAGGTTTTTTTCGGAAAAGTCACGTAGGTAAAATAAATTTAATTAATAAAAGTAAAATAAAAAATTAAATAAAAAGCACGACGTTTCGGAGGTAAGGTAAGGACGATCCATATTCTTAGGTTTTTTCGGTAAAGTCACGTAGGTAAAAACATTTAAAAGTAAAATAAAATAAATAAATTATACTTTTACTTTACTTTCATTACATTTTTAAAAAATAAAAGTAAAATAAAAATAAAATAAATGCATTTTATTTTTATTTTACTTTCATTTAAATTTTTTACCTACGTGACTTTACCGAAAAAACCTAAGAATATGAATCCTTGCAGTCACGAAAGCTTCAAATCTAGAATTGTATCACCTCCACACTCGGAACCAGCAGCGTCACCAGCGCAAGGGGCACGAGGCGCCTTACCCTCTCCACTCCCCTGGTGGGCAAAGCTACGAGTTGGGGGTACCCTCGACAACCACCATGAGATTTGTTTTCAACAACAGTGGTTTACAGCAACAGTACTTCCATTTACATTCCACTGTTGAGTCTCATTTAATTCGAGCGGTAACGTAATGTTGCAAAGAGGTAACTGCGGAGCCGTAGCGGCTGAATTTTACAAAAACGGAGCGCCCCCTACAGCGTTAAATGTCCGAGACCGTGATCGTAACGACGATGCGATTAGGCCAGGGGTGAGAAACGTCCAGCCCGCGGGCCGTGTAAGGCACGCGACATTATTTGGATCTGGCCCTGCCAAGGCAACCGCAGGCGGGACTCGAAATTCAATCAATCTAGGAGCAAACCTGGAAAAGCAGTTGCGAGTAGCAGCAACATCATCAATACCAGCTAACATCACACGCCTCGCCAAAGAGAAACAGTTTCAGCCATCACAGTAGAGGGTGAGTTAATTAAACGTTTGACCAAATATAACAGGCTAATTTTTAAGTTGATAATTTTGTATGGCCCGCGAATTATGCTACAAATATCCAAATGGCCCTTGGCCGAAGAAAGGTTCCCCACCCCTGGATTAGGCAAGAAGAGCCAACGATATATAATAATAATGATAACAATAGTCGAGATGCGACCGTGCTGAGCTGATAACGCGGTCACTACGCCACCGCTCGGAAACATATCGCACGGAGAGGATCCTTTGCCTGTGACATCCAGCAGTACACCCAGCATTGCTCTCAAGCGAGCCCGACTGCTGCTGCTGCTGAGACACTGCGTGTCGAAACCGGCTCAAGAGGTTGCTTGTGCTGGATCAACGCTGCTGTGAATCGCAGCGCTCCCAGGAGGCCGCGTGGCCGCTGGCTTTGCGTGAGAAACACTCTCATGGTGCCAACAGTCCGCAGGTTTTATTATTGGTGCTCAAAATAAATTCCTCCCCATCCCCTCCCGTCCGCCCCCTCCCCCCCCCAACTCCACCCCATGGCACCACACCCCACAATTAAGTTCATTAGCAGCGAATCGCGGATTCGCTGCGAGCTCATTCCACTCTCACGTCGACAGGAGAGGCGTCTTCACCGTCACTTTCTCGCTTTAAGGTTCTCCCTCTGCCGTGCCGAGCATTCCATGAGCAGCACATTGCACAGACGTCTTCCCCCCGTAGGTCACTCACCCTCCTGTGTAGGTGGGAGGCGTGCGTCAGAGGGACATTGAGGGTTTATCTCACAGGTTACAAGGTCCCATTAAAGTACCACATCGCTCCTGCTGCTTCTACTGCTGCTGCTACTCCGAGTCTAGCGCCCGGCCGCCTTTGTCTCTCCCGTGTGACGATGTTCACAAAGGCAAAGATCCCCCATATATCCTGTCGGGGCAAGTGCTGTTAGCGAGCGCCTATGAAGGCCGGCAAAGGCACACGAGGGGGTGGGTGGTCAACACCACGCCCGGCCGCCTTTGTCTCCCTAGTGGCGATGTTTATACACCGCACTAAGTACTCATTTGAGGTTTAGTCGACTTAGGGGAGGCCCAGGACCGGTTCAGATAATCGCCACTGGTGTTGGCCATGGGCGGGAATCGAATTCGGGCCGCCCGGTTTGTAGCGCAGCGTAGCGCTAACCGCTACACCACCGCTCCCCCATTTAACACACACGAGCACGATACCCACAAGGTACTGGATAATCATTTAAGGCTGAGTCAACCTAGGCGGGGACCACTACCGCTGCCCTCGCTGCTCTTATTCCCAAGCTAAGCACTCGCATGCACGAGCTGCAGAATCCTCAGTGGACCGAGTAATTCGCCCCCCCCCCCCCCCCCCGCTGAGTGTAACGCTAAAGCCGAGAGAAAGGTTCCGGTTAAAAACTCGACTCGTATCTAAAATCCCAAAAATACATAACGGGATGAAGACAGAAATAGTCACCAGACATCCCTCTGGGCGGTGGCGGTGGTGGTGGATTTGCTGCACGTGGCCTGCACAGCCCAGCACTGTGGAGGCAGCAGCGATAGTTGGTGGATCACGGCACGTAAATGTCGCCAAAAGCTCCCTTACACGTGGGGTGTCGAAGGAGGAGGGGGAGGCGGTGGTTCCCTGACTGTGGCAGGAGAGAGCGGTGAGCAGCAAACATTGCGGACTCCACACCTCGTTCCGCCTGCATGGCACGGAGTCGTCCTCTTTCTCTCTCTCTCTGAGTCGTCCTCTCTCTCTCTCTGACGCGTCATCTCTCTCTCTCTCTGGGTCATCCTCTATCTCTCTGGGTCATCCTCTATCTCTCTCTGAGTCGTCCTCTCTCTCGAGTCGTTCTCTCTCTCTGAGTCGTCCTCTCTCTCTCTCTCTGAGTCGTCCTCTTTCTCTCCTGCGTCAGCAGTTCTCCTGCTGTGTTCGCCTCACCTGATGACGGTTGCCTGTGTTGCGATCGAAACGTCGTGATCTATTACATTTTCCATCTACGTGACTTTACCGAAAGAGCCAAAGGGCATGGATTCCTGCAGTCACGAAAGCTTCAAATCAAGATCTTAGCCATCATTTAGACGCGGATCCCATGCCAGTTGCGATGCTTCTTTTGGGCGCTGCAATTCTAGTCGTCTCGGGCAGGGGCTGCAACCGCCGGTCCCGTCTCGCAACACCCGCAGGAACCGATTTAATCTGAAACCTGGATTCAAGTCCTCAGCCCTCGGAGGCACCGAGAGCTCGGTGCTTTGACCTCTGAGCCACCCGGCTCATGCCCGGCGGCGATGCAATCGCGAGTTTCGTCTTCAAAATGAGAAACTCGGCTAAGTGATGGAGACCCTCACCCCTACCGCCCCCAAGTGACCATTGGAGTCACCTGGACTGGATTTTGTCGGTCGTGTTGGTCGCGATAATGATGATGATGTTAATAATGATAGTGGTGGTGGTGGTCCAAATTTAGCCCAGGCCCTCTTTTTTTGATGGAGACGTAAAGGTGGGTACGGGTAATCACCGTGCGTTCTTGTAATTAAAGGTGGGTCTAGCCTAAGGCGAGCATGTGTATGTACGCACGTCAGCACGTGTGTGTGGGAGTGTACGTTTACACACACGCGCGCACATGCACACGCGTGCAGGGCAGGTCTATATAAACACAAGGAAGGACTTTGGAGATTATTGAAAGCCATTACAGGCGTCTCTTAATTAACGTTTGCTCGATGAGAGCAGCCGTGTTGCTTTAATAGCGTGTGTTAAAGTTTGAGAAGTTAAATTATCTCTGCTGTATATATACTTATAGACGTACACACGCAAGCACACACGCACATACTCAGTACAAAGACAGATATTCCACGTGTAGCATTACCAGACTGTTGGGGCAAGTGCTGATAGCGAGCACATTTATCACACACACACATGCCGAATTAAATTCCACACACACATATGCATACACCCATATACACCCCTCGACTCCAAAGCAGACAGGCACTCACGTACCCCAACACGCGTGCACCCACGCAACCATCACACAACAACAGCAGCAACAGCAGCAGCAGGGCCAACACCGCGGTTGCTTTGCATTCTTTTCGACTGGCCATGGAAGGGGCGCGGAGAAGGAGCGTTGACCTCAACAAGTACTCGATCTCGGACATGGCTGAGGCCAGCGCCTACAGCAAGAAGATGCAGGGCAGCACCGACGTAATATTCCAGCAGCAGCAGCATCATCAGCTGTACCCGCCCTGGCTGCAACGCACGCGCGACGCGATCCAGCTGCTGCTGATGATCTGCATCCTGGGCGCCCTCGTGCACGTGGCGATCAACACGCGGCCCGCGATCAACGCGACCAACGGCTCCCCTGGGGCCTCCAAGATGATCGGCGGTGACGGCGTGGCCGGCGACGTTAAGGTGGGTGGTGGTGGGTGGTGGGTGGTGGTGGTGTGTGGGTGGTGGTGTGTGGTGGTGGGTGGTGGTGGTGGGTGGTGGTGGTGTGTGGTGTGTGGGTGGTGGGTGGTGGTAGTGGGTGGTGGTAGTGGGTGATGGTGTGTGGTGGGTGGTGGTGGCAGTAGCGGGTGGTGATATTGGGTGGTGGTGGTGGTAGTGGGTAGTTGTGGGTGGTGGTAGTGGGTGGTGGTGGTGGGTGGGTGGTGGTGGGTGGTAGTGGGTGGTGGTGGTGGTGGGTGGGTGGTAGTGGGTGGTGGTGGTAGCGGGTGGTGGTAGTGGGTTGTTGTGGGTGGTGGTAGTGGGTGGTGTTGGTGGTGGTAGTGGGTGGTGGTGGTGGGTGTTGGGTGGTGGGTGGTAGTAGTGAGTGTATGGGCGAGAGACGGTGAGGTGTAGAAGTTGAGTGGGCCTCAAGTCGGGGCTGGTTAGCTCAGGTGATATGATCTGGTGGAGTTGAGTGCTTTAGCTGGTGGTGACCCGCCCATACTGGACATCTGTGAAAAAGAGCTTCATTGCTCATCGGATTCCTCCAGACGATTCTGACATGTTGCTGGTGGAGTGGAGGGAAGTAATTGAAATCAGTGGTGGTTGGGTGAGAGAGATGGTCTGGTGGAGTTGGAGTGCTTGAAGCGGTCTGGTCGCTGTCTGGCTGGCTGATGAATCGAGAGGTGAGACACTTTAAGAGGAGGTCACACAATTAGTTCAGAGGTCAAACGCCGAGATGTCACACACAGAGCAGCAGAAGTCCTCACCGACGGAGGAGAGTCCACTGGCATCATTAAACGCACGCGTCTTGCGTGTGTTGCCGTGTGGTCTACTGCGACGTTGTCACCTCGAGTAGCTGCGATCAGAACCGGCCCTAGACCTTTGGGGGCCCTAAGCAAAATTTGGTTGGAGGCCCCTTTGATGTATGATTTTTTTCACCCACTAGCTAGCAGTGACTCTAGGGGGTCCTCTGCTGGCCACGGGGCCCTTTGCAATTGCAAGGGTCGCTTAGTGGCTGGGCCGGCTCTGGCTGCGATGTGCCAACGTAGCCCGCTCAACCCTGAGATGCTGTGCTCGCGTCGGGGCTTCAACGGGCACGGTGGTCTAGCGAGTGAGTAGGTGGATTGAGCGAGCGAGTCGAGTCATCATCGTCGTCATCACGATCCAAGGGCGTATTTCGTCATTTGTGGCCGATTTTCTCCGCCTTGTACCAATGGGTTGTCCATAAATGACGTCACGTGATTTTGGCCGATTTTTACCCCCCCCCCCCCCCTTCGTCACACGGCGTCACAAAAAGTCAGACCCCCCCCTCAAATATGACGTCACAAAGCTCTGCCCCCCCCTCCCCCCAAATTTGTTTTAAACATGCTTCAAATCGCTGTAAACTATTGCCATTGTAGTGCTTATTTAATGTGGCGCTGCACTCTGATGTTGTAGGAGAAAACATTTATAAAAACGTATATTTAATTAAGTAGAACATGTTGTCTATATTTATTTAAAGTTGCGCATTTTGATGTGACGTCACATTTCTCAAATCCCCCCCCCCCCCTTCGTCAGACATCGTCACAAATGTCTGACCCCCACCCCACCCCCAATAGGTGCGTGACGTCGTTTATGGACGGCCCCTCTCGTCGAGTGTGACGCCGAAGCCGATTGAAAGCGCGCGAGGGGCCCACACTCTCGTGGCAATGTTTAGCGGCTGAACGAAAGCGACAAATGTGGTTGCGATGAACGACGAAATGCGTTTGTCAATCGCAGTGTGGCCTTTAAATGGAAGAAAAAAGCACTCATATAATCGGTGACGTTTCGAGCGATGAGCCAATTTCGTAGCTCATAAAGGGGGCCATACCTCTACCGACTATTTGTGTGCTGTGAAGAAGGGCCATTGCCCGAAACGTCGAAAATTATTATCGTTTTGCTTTTTAAGGCCACACACACACGCGCGCGCAGTTTTATTCTGGACCAACGCATTGAATATTCTTGTTTAGTCATCCGTGCACCGATGCCAATGCAGCAGCATCAGCATCACCATCAGCCAATGCGCGTCTGTGATGTGCCTGTTGTGCAGCTTTTGTGTCACGTGCTCGTGTTGTGTCACGTGCTCGTGTTGTGTCACGTGCTCGTGTTGTGTCACGTGCTCGTGTTGTGTCACGTGTTCGTGTTGTTTGTGTTGTTGCTCTGTGCAGATAGCGAGCGCGCCTCATTTTGCGAGCGACTCCAGAGCCGGTCAAGCGGCATCACTGGGTACGCATCATCACCAACATCATCACCAACATCATCAACATCACCAACATCATCATCAAAGACAAAGATCCCCCCGTATAGCCTTAACAGACTGTAGGGGCAAGTGCTGTTAGCGAGCACCTATGAACGCCGGAACGGGTACACAAGGGGGTGGGTGGTCACTACCACACCCGACCGCCTTTGTCTCCCGAGGTACTCATTTGAGGCTGAGTCGACCTAGGGGAGACGCAGGACTGGTTCAAATAATCGTCACCGGTGTTGGCCGTGAGCGGGAATCGAACTCGGGTCGCCAGGGTTCGTAGCGCAAAAAGGCGTACACCCAGGGTGCCCGCCTTTTGGCGTCATCTGGTCCAACACCAATGGAGACTAGGCTCTAATAAAAGCTGTCTCAGGTGTGGACCAATCAACTTCAAGGACAGTGCATATCATTATCATTATCAAAGTTGTTAATTTTGTTTGCATTTTGACTGCTTGTGTTGTGTTTATTGCAAACATGATGCCTTGTATAAAGGTGTCAGTTTTGTATCAGTTGAAAGGGTTAAAAACCTATTACCGGAATTGATAGCTTGAAAACATTTAGCGCGGGGCCCTTGAAAGTGCGGGGCCCGTAGCATATGCAGCTACTTTTGCTACTCGGATAATCCGGCACTGGTCGGACATCATCAGTGCGTGAGAGCCGGCACGCATTAGACACCACCACCGGGGCTTTAACAGCAAGCACGATGGTGATGATGGGGCGGTGGGGGGGTGTCATCATCTCTGTAATTTCGATTTAAAGCTTTCGTGACTGCAGGGATTCATCTTCTTGGTTCTTTCGGTAAAGTCACGTAGAATGGAAATAATAAAATTATATGATATTATCTTATTATGTTTTATTTTTATTATTTTATTATTTCCATTTACGTGACTTTACCGAAAGAACCAAGAAGACATGTCTGTAATGTCGGGGGCCGCACTAAAGTCCACCAAGGGTGCCCGCCAGTGTGCCCCCGAGACCCTTGAGATGCAGAGCGCTGCTCTAACCGCTCCCTGTGCCGTGCCGTGGCGTTGTCGCGCCGTGTTCGCAGAGAGCGCGGGGACATTGCGAGCGACGGACGAGACCATCCACGACCTGATCGTCAGGGTCAATGAAGGTTCGTTCCTCGCAACACAACGGGGATGTTGGTGCGCAAGCGCTGTTAGCGGGCGCCTGGATAAGGCGGGCACGGCACGCGAGGTGGTGGGGGTGGCCAAGACCACGCCCGGCCGCCTTTGTCTCCCCGGTACTGATGTCTACACACACACAAACTTCACCGGGTACTCATGTTTAAGGCTGAGTCGACCTAGGGGAGGCCGGGGACTGGCTGAGATAATCGTCACCGATGTTGGCCCTCAGCGGGAATTGATCTCGAATCGCCGGGCTAGTAGTGCAGCGTGCAGCGCACTGTCCACTGCACTACCGGCATACACACCCGTGCAGACGCTCACATAAATACACCTACTACACAGGCTCAATCACAGCCACATCTACTCAAACTCATACAAAAAAGACGAAGATCCCCCGTGTAGCCTGTAACAACCTGTAGGGGCAAGTGCTGCTAGCGAGCACCTATGAAGGTCGGCACGGCACACGAGGGGGTGGGTGGCCAACACCACGCCCGGCCGCCTTTGTCTCCCCTAGTGACGATGTTTACACACCGCACCAGGTACTCATTTGAGGCTGAGTCGACGTTAGGGGAGGCGCAGGCCCGGATCAGATAATCGTCGCCGGTGTCGGCCGTGAGCGCGAATCGAACCCGAGTCGCCAGGTTCGTAGCGCAGCGTGGCGCTAACCGCTGCACCACCGCTCATGCACGTCCACTCGCTCACACTGATCCACTCCCGCACCCATTCCAGGACTTCAGCCGGAGCTGCCGAGGGCTTGGCTCCAGAAAACAAATCCCAGAACCTCGTCTCTCCACCCCACCCCCCAACCGAGGGGTCCAGGGGAAGGCAGAGGGAGCGCGGTGTGGCTGGAGGGTTGATCCGGGGGATTGCACGGTTGGCTACGTACGGTGCGAAAGAAGTTCGACAATGTAAAACGTTTTGATGGCGATAATGATGAACCCTACCTGCTTGGTTCTTTTGCAGGCAAAGTGAAAGAGATGGGACTGCTAGAAGGAGACATCATACCCCCGGTAATGCAGCAGGCCAACGATGCTTCTCGGATTCATGCGCATTTCACAGCTGAACTTGTGCGAGATGACAACTTGTCGGGTCTTAGCGCTCACAAAGCGACATTTTTATTTATTTTATTTATTTTATTTTAACTGGTAAGGCCCACTCAGCTGTACAGTTGGTTTTCAGAAGCGACATGGCAACGCATTATAGTTGAACAAAAGTGGCTTACCACGTGGAAATGTATTGCAGACAAATACCCTAAAATGCATGCTCATCATCAACATCATCAACATCATCATCATCATCGTCGTCAGCATCATCATCATCGTCGTAGTCATCATCATCGTCATCGACCATGGTCGATCCACCGCTGAGTGAAAGCCTCATTCCCAAGTCGTCTTGTAATAGTTGCATGTTGTTCGTGTGTGTATGTTTTTTTTTTAGGTGCTTGCTGACTGCATTTGCCCCTACAGTCTGTTAAGGCTATACGGGGGATCTTTGTGTGTTAGCTGGAGTAATCACGTTACTGTGGTGGAGCCCAGGTCTCCCCGTCAGTAGTCACCATTCATTGCTCAGTGTTTTTTTTTTTCATCTGGGCTACACCTGGTAAGGCCCATTGAGCTAGACGGCTCTTTCGCAGAAACGACCTGGCCATAAATGGCAGCTCAGAGAAGTGGCTCATCACGTGGAAATGTATCGCAGCCACATTACTCTAAATGCGCGATGGTGATTCTAAATCTGTGTAGGGGGGGGGGGGGGGGTGAACCAGAGGACCCGGAGAAAAATCCATTCGACAAGAGAGACACGCAAACTCCAAATATACAGCAGACGTCAGGGTCGGGATCGAACCCACAACCTCCTATATACCAGGCGAGGTAGTTAACATCTCCTAGTCACAGTGATGATGACAGAGAGACACGCAAACTCCAAATATACAGCAGGCTTTAATTCTAGATTTGAAGCTTTCGTGACTGCAAAGATTCATACTCTTAGGTTTGTTTTCGGTAAAGTCACGTAGGTAAAAATAATAATAAAATAAAATAATATTAAATGAAATAACTACAGAATATTTTAATTTAGTTATTTTCCTTTATTATTTTATTTTATTATTTTTTACCTACGTGACTTTACTGAACAAACCTAAGAGTATACAGCAGGCGTCAGGGTCGGTATCGAACCCACGAACCTCCTGTATACCGGGGCGAAGTTGTTAACATCTCATCGCCACCGTGATGACGATGAGAGACAGAGAGACATGCAAACTCCAAATATACAGCAGGCGTCAGGGTCGGGATGGAACCCACAACCTCCTGTATACCAGGCGAGGTAGTTAACATCTCCTAGCCACCGCTGTGCCTCATCCTGTAGTGACGTAACCAGACGCCACGCGACGCCATTTTGGGCGGGAGAAAACTCACGGAAGTGACTTGCCCGTTTGTGACGTCACGCCGCGTGACGTCAGAGCTTCGGGCACATCCGAGGCGAGGCGAGAATTTGGATCGTGCTAAAATTTCGCCATCTCGGCCCAATTCTTCGGATTTTACGAATCCATCTGTGAGTCGGGGAGCTCACTCCCTGCGACGTGCACTGCAGTCTGCACAAATAACAAACAAAACAATTCTTCCCCGACCCAAATTCCCCAATCCGATGAATCCGAAATCATGACGTCACAGACAATGAAGTCGTGACGCGTGTGGTGACGCGTGTGGTGACGCGTGGACGTGTTCGCAGCTGCGGTGGCTCGCGCACTGCGCTGCGAAAGGCGGCGACCCCGAGTCTCGACTCCCGCCTGCGACCGATTTTCAGTGACGAATATCTGGAAGGGGAGGGGGGGAAAAAGAAAAAACGACGGTCCATCATTTGGCCTCTCCCCTAGGTCAACTCGGCCTTAACATGCGTGCACGTACTCCTCTGCGCGGCACTCGAACACGCCAGCGATGGGGGAGACAAAGGGGCGGCCGTGACGCGGTACCGGCCACCCAACCGGGCCTGGGCCTCCCCTAAGGTCGACTCAGCCTTAAAGAGTATCCTGGTGCAATGTGTAAACATCGTCACTGGGGAGACAAAGGCGGCCGGGCGTGGTGTTGGCCACCCACCCCCTACTCTTGTGCCGTGCCAATCTTCGCAGGTGATCACCAAGAGCCCTCGCCTCCAACGCCCTTCGCTCTCTCACTCGCTCGCCTGTCTGTCTGTCTGCCTGTCTGTCTGTCTGTCTGCCTGTCTGTCTGTCTGTCTGCCTGCGTGTCTGCCTGTCTGTCTGGTTGCGCACGCGCGAGCGCCGCTTGCAGAAGGCGAACGCGATCCGCAGCATCGTGAGCGACCCCTCGGCGCGGTGGCCCGCGTCCCCCGACGGCCTGGTTCGCATCCCCTACGCCTTCTCCTCGTACTACAGTACGCGCCGTGTCCGGCAGCGTGGGCTGAGTAGTGGCCGTGGTGTGCCGAACGTGTCTTGTCGTGCGTCGCCGGGCGGACCGGGGAGATGTACGTCAGAGGTCGCAACCGGGTACCCGATACCCGTACCCTACCCGATACCCGGCTACCCGTACCCGGCCGGGTACGGGTACCCGTTTGCGACCCTGGTGCGGCCGGGTACGGGTACGGGTAAGGAATCAAAACCCGTTTGCGACCTCTGATAATACGTACGTCGGACAAACTAAACACAACAAACAAAAATCAGTTCCAAGGAAATGGATCGGTGCTCCGTGGTGATCGGTCGTGGCCGCAGCCACCGTGGGTGTAGACTGGGCGTGGTATGCCAGGTGAGGACCTGGTCCCCCATGGAGACGGCCTCACGCCGTCTCGCTCATCGTCGCCGTCGCCGGTAGACTGCCGGTAGGCGGAAGCCGCGACCCGGAATAGCCGCAGCGGAGAAGCGGCTGTCACTGGCGATGAGCGTGAGGACCTGTGGGGAACTTATATAGCACGCGCATCCTTCAAAGCCAGCAGCGTAACGAGCATGGGGGCAGGGGGTGCCTTGCCCCTCTGCGCTCCTCCCTCGTCGCTAAGCTGCGAGTTGTGGACCCCCTTGGCAACGACCATGAGATTTGTTTTCAGAAGCGAAGACGGAGCGCCCCCACAGCGTTAAGTGTTTGAGGCCGTGAGCGTATCGATGCGATTAGGTCACGCCGGCGATATCGAATATCGGAGTCTCACCTGACCGATTGCCGCACCCCCTGAGCTGATAATGCAATTACTACGCCACTGGCCTAATCCATCTGTGCGTGGACCCATCAACCCCACCCCCCCCCCCCCCACATCTTCCTCCGGGTGTCATGTTTAGGCCCGGAGAATCTGGCCGTCTTTGCGCAGGCGTTCCAGGATTTTCAGACGAAGACGTGCCTCCGTTTCTTCCCACGCACGTCGGAGGCGAGCTACATCAACTTCTACAACGGCGGCATGTGAGTCGCGTGGGGCCACGGCCATCCAACGGTGTTGTCGAAGTGGCCAGTGACACAGGGGCCCTAGCCCATGGGCTCGGCAACGAAGACAACAAGAAGAGCGATTTTTTCGCGTCTAATTCGGTACAGGTATATCTCCATATATATAAAAGGCAACGTTGTGATTATGTGTGTCTGTTCAAAATGTTTAGCGTACTTCCCGACATGCAACAAACTTGAAATTTGCCATGTGGGTGCTTTCCAGATTGTACACCATGCAACAATTATAAAAATACACTTATTTTTTTTTTTGGGGGGGAGCTCAATAATGCATAGATTGTTTGTACGGCAAGTGAGCTGTGACGTCAAATCTGTCACGTGACCCGCACACGTGGAAGCGTAACGGATTGTAGTGTAGTGCTTAGCGCTTTGCGCTACGAACCCGGCGACCCACGTTCGATTCCCACTCACGGCCTTCACCGGTGACGATTATTTGAACTGATCCTGGGCCTCCCCTAGGTCGACTCAGCCTCAAACTAGTAATTGGTGTGGTGTGTGAACATCGCCACTGGGGAGACAAAGGCGGCCGGGCGTGATGAATCCAAGTCCCGGGCGAAGCCGGGTAGTTAGGCTAGTGTATATATACAATTTACTTTAAAATTCAATAGCCACAGTGCACGTGGTGAATAGGAGAGACGGTCCTTGATTAATAACGGTCACGAAACAATCCTCAATGCGGCTGTAGAGCCACAGGTTGCCGACCCTTGCCCCTTGGTAACCTGGACTTCCATGGTGACCTGGACTTCCATGGTAACCTGGACTTCCATGGTAACCTGGACTTGCATGGTAACCTGGACTTCCATGGTAACCTGGACTTGCATGGTAACCTGGACTTCCATGGTAACCTGGACTTGCATGGTAACCTGGACTTCCATGGTAACCTGGACTTGCATGGTAACCTAGACTTCCATGGTAACCTGGACTTCCATGGTAACTGGGACTTCCATGGTGACCTGGACTTACATGATAACCTGGAATTCCATGGTAACCTGGACTTCCATGGTAAACTGATCTTCGATGGTCAGGGGTAGGCAAACTAAACAACAGGAGGAGCTATTTTTTTGCGAATTTCAAGAGCCTCACGCGGCTGATCTGGAGGTTGTCGATCCCTGGCCTAGCTCACCCCCCCACACTCGCAGCCGGCACACGATGGTCCGCGGCTGTCTCACCGAACGACATCGCGCGATCTTTGACCACCGCCGGTTGATCCGCATCTCGGTGTTAACCGGGGCGGCCGCTAGAGCTCGACCGGAGAACCTCTGCGCCGTCGGTGAACCTCGGCAAGATGAGGAGTTCGCGCTCTCTCCATCCCTCGCACTCCTCCTCCCACCCTCTCCCTCCTCCCATCTCTCACTCCCTCCAATTCCTGCTTCCACATCTCCCCACTCTCTCCATCCCTCCCACTCCTCCTCCCACCTCTCACTTCCTCCCATTCCTGCTTGCACATCTCCCCACTCCCTCCATCCCTCCCACTCCTTCTCCCACCCTCTCCCTCCATCCCTACCACCCCTCACCCCCCCACCCAACGCATCCGCGTGACCGCGCCAGGTGCTCTGGGACCATCGGCTACCAGCAGCGCACGTCGACGGCGGTGTCGATCATGCCGGGCGCGTGCACCTACAAGGGCGTCATCATCCACGAGACGATGCACGCGCTCGGCTTCGTGCACGAGCAGTCGCGCACCGACCGCGACGCGCACGTGCGCATCCTCTTCGCAAACATCATAAGGGGTGCGTGCTCCTCCTCCAGCTCCTTCTCCTCCGGTTCATCCCTGGCTCCTCGTCTGGCTCCTCCTGCTCCTCTGGCTCCTCCCTTCGGCTCATTCTCTGGCTCCTCCTCCTCCCCTGGCTCCTCCTCCTCCTCCCCTGGCTCCTCGTCTGGCCCCTCCTCCTTCCTTGGCTCCTTCTCCCCTGGCTCCTCCTCTGGCTCCTCCTTCGACTCCTCCTCAATCTTCAATCATCCTCCTCCTCAATCCTCAATCATCCTCCTCCTCAATCCTCAATCATCCTCCTCCTTAATCCTCAATCATCCTACTCGTCGTTCTCTTCAACGTCGTGGTCATCAGCGTCGTGATGAATAAAACAACATTTGGCTGGGTGCGGGGGGGGGGTGGACCGGGGGGGGTGAGTTCAGATCACACAAGTAAGATATGTGTCGTAAAACCCCTCCTCCACCCGACACGAAGCTGTCGCGCGGTGAACAAACGTGGCCGATTTGACGATCGTCAGATGCCGCGTGGATCGCTCTCCCGACAATGCCGCCGGGGGAGGCGCTGCCGAAGCAGCAGCGATGCATTGGCCACGTCTTGATCGGCCGTGTCGGCTGGAGGATGGGGTCACGGCAGAGGTCAAAAACGGGTTTTGATTCCTTACCCGTACCCGGCCGCACCAGGGTCGCAAATGGGTACCCGTACGCGGCCGGGTACGGGTACCCATTTGCGACCCTTTCCCTACCCGTACCCATACCCTACCCGAAATTTGCGACCCTTTCCCTACCCGTACCCGTAACCTACCCGAAATGAGTGACAAACGGCTACTCACCAGTGACTCACGGCCTACCCGTACCCGTACCCGGCCGCACCAGGGTCGCAAACGGCTACCCGTATCCGTACCCGGCCGGGTACGGGTAGCCGGGTATCGGGTACCCGGTTGCAACCTCTGGGTCACGGCGCGTGTGTGAATTTAAGCGGCGGTCCGCCTCACCCGAAAGTAAATTGTGAACGGTGACATCGGTGGCGAAAAAGTCTCACGCGGTCAATTCATCAGCGTCGTCACGTTGGGTGGTGGAGGGTCCCCCCGCGTGTGTCCCACCGCCTGTCCCCCCCCCTCTCCCTCTTTGCCTGCCCCCCACAGGGAAGGAGTACAACTTCCAGATAATGTCCACAAACGACGCTGTGGGACCCTACGACTACAGATCCGTGATGCACTACAGCAAATACACGTACAGCTACAACTCGCTGCCCACCATCGTGCCCATCCCGGATGACACGGTGCTCGACGCATCACAACCACGATCGCAACCACAACCACGATCACAAACAACAACCACGATCACAACCACGATCACAACCACAACCACGATCACAACCACGATCACAACCACGATCACAACCACGATCACAACCACAACCACGATCACAAACACAACCACGATCACAACCACGATCACAACCACAACCACGATCACAACCACGATCACAACCACGATCGCAAACACAACCACGATCACAACCACGAATACAATCATGATCACAACCACGATCACAACAACGATCATAACCACGATCATAAAACAAAACCACGATCACAACCACGAACACAACCACGATCACAATCATGGTCACAACCACGATCACAAACAACAACCACAATCACAACCACAACCACGATCACAACTACGATCACAACCACAACCACGATCACAACCACAACCACGATCACAAACAACAACCACGATCATAACCACGAGCACAACCACAACCACGATCACAAACAACAACCACGATCATAACCACGATCACAACCACGAATACAATCATGATCACAACCGCGATCACAATCACGATCACAACCACGATCACAAACACAAATACGATCACAACCACGATCACAAAAAAATAATGATCACAACACAACCACTATCACAAAGAACAACCACGATCACAACCACGATCACAACTACAACCACTATCACAAACAAAACTACTATCACAAGCAAGAACCACGATCAAAACCACGAATACAATCACGATCACAACCACAACCACGATCACAACCACAACCACGATCACAACCACAATCAACCACGATCATAACCACAAACCCTAAACCGAAAATCCCATGGTCACCCTCGCAATGCCTGAGCACAAACCACATCAACGGCGCAACATCGTCACCCACACGACCGCACACGACGACCACAAAGCGAATTCGTTCGATTGGCCCCGAGTCCTTGCGAGCGTGGGCCGAGCGCTCGCGGCGAGAGAGGCGGGGTGGAGGTTGTTGGTGGTGCCAATGGTGGTCACCGGCGCGTGGCGAGCAGGTGCTGATCGGGCAGAGGGAAGGAATGAGCACGCTGGACGTATTGAAGATCAACAACGCGTACTGTGGGGGGGTCATACCCCCGGGGGTTACCCTCACCCCACCTTCGGCAGGTGTGACCCCCACCCCCACACCCCCCCCCTACACCCCCACGAGCCTCGCAAATCCGCGCCGACACAACCAACACACTCGCGCAACGCCGAGCACACACGAATAGAGAGGGAGAAAAACATATCACCGTGTAGCAGATTCAGCGTATTTCCTGGGGGGGCCACGTGCTCCGGGCGAGCATGAGGTAGAACGCATTGCGTGCCTCGTCGCATCCGTTGAGCGGTTGAAGGCTGCATCGGTGTCGAACGCGGCATACGCGAGGGTGCCCTCTACGCCGGCTTTTCTCTCTCTCTTTCCCACAATAACGCTACCGCGCGCGCCTTGCTATCGTGCACGCGCGTGATGCAGAGGCGACGCGCTCCGAGATAATCGTCGTCCCATTGCGCCACCCCGACGGGTACCAAATTGGCCGGTTTTGGGGTGAACGGCTCAAAAGGGAACGGAGGGTTCTGGGAGAGTCCATGGCGGAGTCTTCTCACCGGGATGGGGTCTCTGTCTCACGTGCCACAGTGACGCCGTGCAACGCCACGTTCAGCAGCGTCCAGGGCAACTTCATGAGCCCCGGCTACCCGACCGCCTACGTCAATCGGCTGGACTGCTTCTACAACTTCTCGGCACCGGTGGGACTGCGCATCGAAGTGACCTTCAGGTGAACTTCTCCGTACAACACCGCGCAGTATTAACCAGCGTGGGGGGGGGGGGGGGGGGGGCTGCCCGTCCAGTGCGAACCGCGAACATCTTCTGGCTGTGAGCGCGTGGCCTTGCGTCTTGCTTGCCCGTGCTAAAGCTCACACCGCGTGTCGATGTCGATGACGACGATGACGACGACGCTGATGCCTATTGTGACGTCACTGGCCGGCGTGAGCAGCATCTTCATGCTGGAGTTCGGCACCGCGCTCTGCCCCTACGACTTCGTCGCCGCATACAATGGCCCCGGGACCAGCTCGCCGCAGGTGAGAGGTGGGGGTTGGGGGGGGGGGCTTCCTCTACCCCCCCTAATGCCCCCCCCTTCCCACACCCCACACCCCACCCCCGACATTCACTAACCTGCACTGACAAGAGTTGTAACGCTTGGGACTTCTTCTCTCCGTGATTTCTTTCGCACGGCTGACGTCGATCAACAGCTACAAATTCACGCTCCGGTTAAACAGCCAGGAGGTTTGCAAAGAGCCTGTGAATGAGTGTTATGATGTCTCTCTTCTTCACACACCTCCCCCCCCCCACCATGTCCACCTATCTGCACCCCTTCCTCTGCTGAAGGGAGCGCAGACCGCATGACGGGTCCATAGTTAGATCAGCGGACGATGCATTGCGGGGTTTCTGTTCGGCTTCACGGGTCGATAAGGAAGAGTAGGCCAAAGGCTCACCCCCCCCCCTTCCCCAGCTGTCTTGCCACGATCATAACTGTCCCTTCCGCGCTCTCCTGAAGCGTGCCTTTCGCAATTGCCTCTGCTCACTCCCGTTTGATTGGCCGTTCATCGATTGGATGTGCGTGCGTGCGTGCGGGCGCAGATCGGCAAGTACTGCGGCTCTAAGCAATCGTTCACCGTCAAGTCGAGCGGCAACTACATGGTCATACAACTCCACACCGACGGCACCCAAGTCTACCCCGGCTTCATGGCGAGCTACAGTAGAACCCTCAGTTAATTTGGGGCTGACCTCGTGGTGATGCTGATAATGAATGAATAATAATAAAAACTCAACGCGTTGGTCAATAACACTGTATATATGCGACGTTTCGGGGGCAATGGCCCCTTCAGCAGCATAGCCAAATAATTACTGGAGTTGCAGACAGCGGCATCCTCCGCTTGACCTTGCAAGAGGTTCGCGGTTTCGGTTCCAGCGGCCGCCCCGATTAATGCTGCGGTGCGGATTGATTGCACTGGTGAACAAAAAAAAATGTTTTTCTGGCCTGGAGTTTTGCAGCTGTTCTAGACTAATTTCAGGGTGCTGATTCCAAATCTGATCTCAGATTTTCTCTATCACATCTCATTTTTATGCTATCGGCATACCCCATTTTCATTGATTTTACCCGAAATTAACTCTGTCACTTATGATTGCAAGTTGGTGCGAGTCAGTGACTGCTTTAGTGTTAAAATATGGTGCTGTATTTTTAGGATAGTGTGTTTATAATATCATTTTATGTAGATATCCACATTTATTTAATATCTTTCTTCTGCAGTTTTTATTGAAAATGCAATCTTTGATATCTAAAAAAAAACCTGATGTGATAGACAAAAACTGATGCCAGATTTGGAATCAGCACCCCAAAATTACCTTATCACCGTTGCAATACCTTACGCCAGAAAAAGTGTGTTGACAAAAACAAAAAAATTCACCCGCGCGCCGTCCGCTTCACTCACGGCGCACGTTAAAGATCCCACGCCGTCACTCGCAAGGCGAGGCCTCTGTGCGCCGGTGTCGTGGTCCGAATGTGCCAACATCATTCAATAATCCGTGCGCAGTATTCAATTAGGGTTACGTCCGTTTAGGTTTTTCACGAACATTTTTTGGGGTCAAATTAGGGTTCTAGGATGTCGTGTGCTTGCTCTGACGGAGCATTTCTCAGTATCGGGGCGCGTGTAGAAGTATAGTGGCCCCTCGTGGGTTACGGATTAAACCGAGTGGATCTCGGAAATAGTTCTGTTATGTCTACTTCTTATGGTGAAATTACCTAAAACTCTAATAAAGTTGGGAGTGGGGGGGGGGGGTGTGGGGGAAATACATAATTAAATAATGATTCACCTTGATAGAAATATGGATGAAATATTAGTGGCTCTCCTATCGGAAGGTTTAGGAGTTACAATCCTGGTTGGGTGGGGGTGGTTGACTCAGCCCATCATCCTATCGGGCGGTGGGGCGAAAGGGGGGGGGGGTCGATAAAATAAGTACCGCTTTGTGTGGCGAAAGATCAACAGTGGTTATCCGGTGGATAAACTCACTCCCGTCATAGGAACGTAGAATTTCCACCACTGACTGTGCGGCGCTTGAAAAGAAACGGGTGATGAGCATCAAATGTGTACTCGATGCTTCCTAAAACAGTGATCGCATTCACAAATAGTAACAACCATGAGCGTCACTGAGCTACAGTTTTCTTGGTTCTTTCGGTAAAATCACGTAGAAGGGAAATAATAAAATAATACAAATAAAACATAATAAAATAATTCTCACGACGTTTCGGCCACAACGCAAGCAAGCCGTCCTCTTTTTCTTCACCTGAGGACGGCTGCTTGCTTTGTGGCCGAAACGTCGTGAGAATTATTTTATTATGTTTTATTTTTATTATTTTATTATTTCCCTTCTACGTGACTTTACCGAAAGAACCAAGAAGATGAATCCCTGCAGTCACGAAAGCTTTAAATCGAAATTGAGCTACAGTTCATAGCAGGCGTGGTGCGTTATTCGTGGGTTGACTGAATGGGTTTTCCGGTGTTGTAATTAAACTCGAATTTCTTATGCTGGACATTGTTGAGGTTCTCAATAAATGACGTCACCTCTCTTGAGAATCACTTTGATCTTATTTTGAAGGATACGTACGGGGCTTGAACGTCGCGAGCTCACGGCCGCCTTTTACATAACACGTGTCGGCTCAGCCATTCCAGCTCCCTGCGGCAGCATCGCCAAGTGGCAGCTGTCCCTACGTGGCGGCGAGATGTTAACTACCTCGCCTTGTATACAGGAGGTCGTGGGTTCGATACCGACCCTGACGCCTGTTGTATATTTGGAGTTTGCGTATCTCACTTTCATCATCATCACGGTGGCTAGGAGATGTTAACTACCTCGCCTGGTATACAGGAGGTCGTGGGTTCGATCCCGACCCTGACGCCTGCTGTATATTCGGAGTTTGCGTATCTCACTTTCATCATCATCACGGTGGCTAGGAGATGTTAACTACCTCGGCTGGTATACAGGAGGTCGTGGGTTCGATCCCGACCCTGACGCCTGCTTTATATTCGGAGTTTGCGTGTCTCTCTCATCACCATCACGGTGGCTAGGAGATGTTAACTACATCGCCTGGTATACAGGAGGTCGTGTGTTCGATCCCGACCCTGACGCCTGTTGTATATTTGGAGTTTGCGTGTCTCACTTTCATCATCATCACGGTGGCTAGGAGATGTTAACTACCTCGCCTGATATACAGGAGGTCGTGGGTTCGATCCCGACCCTGACGCCTGCTGTATATTCGGAGTTTGCGTGTCTCTCTCATCACCATCACGGTGGCTAGGAGATGTTAATTACCTCGCCTGATATACAGGAGGTCGTGGGTTCGATACCGACCCTGACGCCTGCTGTATATTCGGAGTTTGCGTGTCTCACTCTCATCATAATCACGGTGGCTATGAGATGATAACTACCTCGCCTGGTATACAGGAGGTCGTGGGTTCGATACCGACCCTGACGCCTGCTGCTGTATATTTGGAGTTTGCGTGTCTCTCTCTCTCTCATCATCACGGTGGCTAGGATATGATAACTACCTCGCCTGGTGTACAGGAGGTCGTGAGTTCGATACCGACCCTGACACCTGCTGCTGTATATTTGGAGTTTGCGTGTCTCTCTCTCATCATCATCACGGTGGCTAGGAGATGTTAACTACCTCGCCTGGTATACAGGAGGTCGTGGGTTCGATACCGACCCTGACGCCTGCTGTATATTTGGAGTTTGCGTGTCTGTCTCTCATCATCATCACGGTGGCTAGGAGATGATAACTACCTCGCCTGGTATACAGGAGGTCGTGAGTTCGATACCGACCCTGACGCCTGGGTGGGAAGGGGCTGGTCACGCCGTGGTGCCCTTATAAAACTCAACGTTTAACCTACTCACGCTGGCTTGTGCCCGCCCTCACAGTCGGGCATATTTGCGGAATACACCACGCCGCCGTTGACCCTGGCCATTGACCGAGCAACCAAACGTTCCTACCAGCTCCCTCCGCAGGAATGTGTTGTTATTTCACACACGTCCATTGATGATCACTTACTTATCCAGGCAGAGCCACGGTGAGTCGTAGGTTCTCACACTCAGGAGGACCCCGCTGAAAGCATGAGCGGAGGTCGTGAATGGAATGTGGCTTGCACTGCCCTCTGATACGCCACGCAGCAGCCTATAACACCTGCTCCGCACGGCGCGCGTCGCTCCAAGGGGCCGTCCATAAATGACGTCACGCGATTTTGGAAGATTATTTTACCCCCCCCCTCCTCGTCACACGGCGTCACAAAAAGTCAGACCCCCCCCTCAAACATGACGTCACAAAGCTCTGCCCCCCCCCCCCCACAAAATAAAACATGCTTCAAATCGCTTTAAACTATTGTCATTGTGGTGCGTATTTAATGCGGCGCTGCACTCTGATGTTGTAGGAGAAAACATTTATTAAAAAGTCTGTTAAATTAAGTAGAACGTGTTGTCTATATTTATTTAAAGTTGCGGATTGTGATGTGACGTCACATTTCTCACCCCCCCCCCCTCGTCACACATCGTCACAAATGTCTGACCCCTCCCCCCAGATGCGTGACGTCATTTATGGACGGCCCCAAGCACTCGCCAGGCTGAAAGCTGTTTAGCTTCCCAGCTATGACGATATCATGGCCTGGGACCTTTTATGTGTTTTTTTTTTTGTCGCCAGTGTGAAAGTATGAAATAAGTATAACCCGTAAAAACAAAGTTTTTCACTATAAATCCTTTATATGCGTGGCGGCTAGAGTCCTCTCGTCCTCTGGCTTGAGATGGCTGCCACCTAAGGGGCAGATGATTGTCTGCCAGTATTAAGCAATTGGTAATTAAATATTTAATTTGTTTCCCCTAAACAGTGTAAAATTTAGGATTTTTTTTCACGAACATTAATTGTCTCGCACAACGAGTCTGTGTGCAAAATGTCAGCTCGATTGGATCACGGGAAGTGGGTTAAAAAACGACCGAAAGATTTGCACGGTCGTAAGCAAGCAAGCACGCAAGCACGCAAGCAAGTGAACTTAATATAAAGGATTTAAAAAATAAGAATTGGGGTTTTAGCCCCTCCTGGCTGTGAAGCAGAAGGCGGTTAAGATGTCCAACCACCACATAGCAACCGCTTTGCAAGGAACCCTGCCTGCATTGCGGTGAACATGCACACACGAAACACGCTTTGAGAATGTGTGGGCGTTGTCTTTGACACGGATTGGTCTCCACCATCAGAGACAGCCCTCTTTAGGCTTTTACTTGATACAGAAATCGTGCTGTGACGGTTCCACCTGAAGACGGAAGCTTGTGTTGCCTCCGAAACGTCGTGATTTTTTATTTTACTTTTATTAATTTTAATTTTATTTTTTACCTACGTGACTTTACCGAAAAAAACCTAAGAGTGTGAATCCTTGCAGTCACGAAAGCTTCAAATCTAGAAGCCCTCTTTAGGGCCTGGTCTCACTCCCGGTGTCGGACCAAAGAACGCCAAGATGCCTTTTGTTCGACACAAGTTGATCGCGCTTCCGTGGCAAAACAGTTGCCACGTGCTGTTTGAACATCCGAACGCCTCCCGTTTGATTGCCAGAAAGGGTAAAAGTTCTTTTAATTTTTCATAGATCATGATTTGTTTATCGATGATAATGATGATGATAATGATGATAACTGACAGGTTTGGATCAATACAATGCTTGATGAAGACCTCCCCAACTCGTCGC